GTGGGGTTAGGTCGGGCTAGTGGAGGAGTGGGGTTAGGTTGGGCTAGTGGAGAAGTGGGGTTAGGTTGGGCTAGTGGAGGAGTGGGGTTAGGTTGGGCTAGTGGAGGAGTGGGGTTAGGTTGGGCTAGTGGAGAAGTGGGGTTAAGTTGGGCTGTGGAGGGGGATGAGGTTATGTTGGGCTGGTGGAGGGATGGGGTTATGTCGGGCTGGTGGAGGGATGGGGTTATGTTGGGCTGGTGGAGGGATAGGGTTATGTCGGTCTGGTGGAGGGATGGGGTTATGTCGGGCTGGTGGAGAGGTGGGGTTGGGTTGAGTCACTGGAGGGATGCAATATGATAGAGGTGTCGTGGACGTTGAGTTACTTGGGGCTGAAATTGAGAACCAGGTACTTGTCATGTTTGGTCAAGTACATAGTGCAACTAAGTGATATCTTCTACAATAATCGTAAATTTCTGTCCTATTTCCTTCGACATGTTTGTTGATTGGTTCAATAGTCTTCATTCCATAACGATCTCAAGGTGTGTTCTTTGAAAGTTTTAATTTTTTGTATCAAAGAGAGAGTTGAGAACAGTGTACCAATGGAACTTGATAAACACTCACAGCAGCATGTAAACATCTGCAGTGGTTTATATATATATATAATTTTTTTCACCTGGGGAAGTTTGGTTTCACTCTTCCAACCTTTTCATCAGAGTTTATGATAACAGTAATAAAAATTCAAAAGAACTTGATCAACTGGATATGTTACACTGATTATGCAAGCATGCAAATAGCTGAGAAAGCTAGTTTCTTTAAAGGGTGCCTCTTCTTTTTTCACTGAGCACATCCGACGTGTTAAGGTATCAGAGAAGGAAAATTAGCGCATTTATTCAAAATGAATTAGCATGCAAACTATTCAAGCTATCCCGATAAAAGTATACATTTTCTCTGAGCCATATTAACACTGACTTGGGATATTCAATCACTTTCAAAATTTTTACTATCAGCGGAAAGGAAGCTTTTTTTAAAAAACGCCCAGACGGCTAACAAGATTAGTTTATTCAACGTTTGTTTTCCATTGGGAATATGATCTATACGTATTGACCTAAAAAGAGTTTCTGCTATTTGTCCATTAAAGCTCCGCTTTTGAGCAAAGTTTTAAATGCAGATGTTTTTGACTAAAAAATTCCGGAAACCTTTTAGGCCATTGTTTTTTGACATTTTCTCCAAATAAAATCTTGAAAGTTCAAAAATCAAGCCTTTATCTCCCGAAGTAAAAAGGGTACCAAAATATAAATTTCGAAAGTTGACTGTTCCTTTTTTTTTAACTAAGCACGAAATTTTCAAGAAATTTAAAAAAAAAAATTCCCATAGTAATAGGCCAGAATGACGTGTTCGCGTTAGTTTTTTTGTGGGTCTACCTCCACCCCGAGTCACAGCTTAAATCACAGGCAGCTCAAGCCGCCTCTGATTTAAGGGGAGAAGGGCTTCTCTTATGTACTTAGTAAACCTAGAAATGGATAACTCGCTAAAATGGGTTCTTTTCAACATAGTAAGCAGTCAGATAGCAAGCGATGCTCTGTGAAAGTAAGGTATTTTTATTGAGAAGTTTGACTGTATTTTTTATTTCCAAGAGCATGCGTAAATGTTCCCATACAAACTCTTATCATTTCGCCATGGCTCTTATTTCTCAACATGATCAACTCACAGCTTAAGCTTGGGCCGCCTGTGCTTAAATATAATACAGCTCGAACGCGTTCAAGACACCTGCGAGGGGACGGTGGATGGCGTTCCTTCACCGTTTTCTCATGGAACTTTCTCAAAAAATTGTAAAGTATTCTCCCGAGTTTAAAAGTATTTGCTGGGCTCGCAACGTTAGGTGTCTGGGTTGAAGTCCAGTTTTTAATTTTCCACCCTGTGTTTCTTTCTGGTTTGTGCGCTAAGGATGCGAACAATGTTCAGTCAAAGGTCACTGATTTACGCAGGGAAATGAAAGGGCGATTAAAAATTAGATTGTTTTTCTTACATCCAGGGGTCTTATACTCAGGGGTTCTTGCAATCATACCTGATTCCCATAGTAGGGCTTTCGTAAAGGGGAAGGGTGGGGGCGGTCTGCTCCATTGTGTATGTGCTGAGGAATTTGATGGAGAAGGATGGAGTGGCCTGAACGCAAACTCTTTAGTAGAGCTCACATGGAGGGTCTTTGAATCAGTCTCTGAACTAAAAAAAAGGTTGCTAATGGGGTTGTAACTGTCACAAATCTTTGTTTTATTCGTTAATACTGATGAAGGCGTTGACGAGGTGACGTGTGCGCCCTTAGCGTAACGTTAAAGCCGAAAACTGATTAAAAACTGAAAGAAGGAGAGAGGTCTTAAATCATGGCTCCATTCAAAGAGATCACCTCTGACACTATTCTGTGAAATAAAAACCAAAAACATTCACAAGACAATACACAGTTAAACTCACACACAATATTTACAACAAAGCTTTCACAATCACGGCAAATCAGTCAATACTAACCCACTAGGAGCCTGTAACGGCCTTGTCTTTGTCAGATAAAGTTACTCTCCTCACGCTAAGCTGAGCAAACTTTGCGAAGCGCTTCTAATGTTGCTAAGTGACGTCGCACTGGCCGTGGTTTCTCGACAGCAGCTCATACAAGAGAACAATGGAGTCACCCTTCCCTCCTGCTTCAAAAACATATTCAAAAGGCATACCTCAAACCGTCGACTGCGCGTAGCTAATGACTGACCACGAAAATTAGTATTATCTGTCACGCTGATGAAAATAAGCCTCATAAATTACGGCTCGTGTTCACCGAGCATTGAGTCAGTGAGCTGATCAATTATCATCGAATGTAGCTTTTTGACCAAAAGGAACATAAAATACGTACAGAGAGGCTAGATACATCAGCAATATGTTTTTCCAATAGAGCACGCGTATGGCAACGAATCCTGCAATCTAATTGGTTCTTATAGGCAAGATTTTGTCGCAGGCAACGGTAACACCTTGCCAAATCATCATGTAAATCTATTTTCGTGAATGAGTCGGCAGTAATTGTCATCCTTAGACCTTTTTTATTCTTCAAATTAAATTCAGAGAGGCTTTCCTTGCTTCCCTCATACTGGGGCGCTCAGCCAGTGCTCTAGTTTATAAGCATATTCCGTTGAACCCCAATTATTAGAGAGAGTCTGAATTTGATGAAAGAGAAAATTCAGAATTTTCAACGTTTAGGGCCTAGTTTTATAAAGGGGAGATAACACAGTGCAACTGATAAATTGCTTTCCAGCAGAAAAGTGATAGCAAAACGAACTGTACCATCCACCGGGTAAGATTTACACACCTGGAGCCAGATCTTTCAAGTATCCGAATAGAAGGGGTAAGTTTCTAAAGAAACTGTGGTGCTGTGTCGGTGAGAGAGTATCACAGGGTAATTTAGTATGATCGGCTGAGTTGATAGCTTCAATTGGCAACCGTAAAGAGTTTCGAGCGTTCGCCATTCGTTAGAGCGATTGGAGGAATTGTGGGTTATGTGTGGGTTTATATGCAGAAAATGGAGCTACGCTATTGGTGGGAATATGGTAACGAGAGAACAAAGGGCTCGTGGGGACCCGTGAGCATCCCTACTCGGCACTCTTAATCCGCGCGGTATCAACAAGTGTTTTTCATTCAACTAATTTATTCCTGTTTTCTCGTCACCATAGTCCTACCAATAGCGTAGCTTCATTTTCTGAATATGAACCCACACTCAACCCACAATTCCTCCAATCGCTCTGACGAAGGGCTAACGCTCGAAAGGTCAGCTTTTAAACCCTTTACGGCGGCTAATTCACGTTATCAACACAGTTGATGATACTAAATTACCCTTCCAAGTATCCGTTGATTTTTCCATGATGACGATCCTTTGTTTCTCATTATTTTGTTCGAGTTAAGTTAAGTGGTAACGCAATTGTGTCCTCGTATTGTGTGTAATCAAAAATATAACAAATATGAGGGGGTTGTTTGATCATCAGCATCCCGACTCTAGCACTAACAGCGATAGGAAAGTTTGCAAGTCATCAAAAATGTGTAAAAAGGACAATTTACACATCACGTTTAGCATATTTAGTCCCATTCGCAAGCATCAAGTCCATTCAAAGATGGTGCATTGTTAAATTCTAAGTTTTGAATGGATGTAACCGATGATTATGAATTGGTAACAGGAAACTGGGTTGAACAATTCTGTTTGTGATTAACATTTCTTACTCTAGCTTCGCGATTGTCAGATTTTGTTCACTCGTATAGTTGCTGACCGACATAAACTCTAAGCAGCCCTATACTTTTTTAAAAATGAATGTATAGATCATTTTTCTTTACTGATCGTTTTTGAAAAAGTACATCATTTCACTAATAATAAAAAAAACATTTGGATAGAATTGATTTTGTCAAGGGCCCTCAGATGAGGGTTTTTCCTGGCGTCAATTACTTGAGGGAGTTTTTAGGAAGGATCACAGGTCTGGCATGTTATGATGAAAAATAGACTTGATTCACGGAACTGAGGAGAGTGTTTTTCGAGAGGGTGTTTGTTTTTGTTTTGTGTTCTTTCCTTTCTTTTGTCTTCCGGAATTGTTTAGTTTTATTTCGCTTCAGTTTTTTCCTTTTTCGAAATCGAGCTTGAGTTCAAAACCCACTATAAATAACCACTTATGTACATGAATTTATTGAAATTAAATCTTCTCATACAGTTAAAATGCACTCGACTATGAATGCTAAGGGAGTGTACCATACTACCTAGTACGGTGTACCGTGCTGAGCAAAACTAATTGACTGAAAAATATCACGCTTTCCTCCGTGATCTTGAGCGATATATATTCCCTCCGTCGAGTATGGAACGAAGACACAGAAGTCCTTAAACATTGGAACAGGTTCGTCTTCCTAAAAATTTTACCCAGGATCTTGTACATAAATGGCGTTCATTTGTAATCTAATGTTTTTATTCTACGTTATAAAATTATCGAAGGCAAGGTCTCCAGAGGGCAGACTCACTCATACCATGCATACACATCAACACAAGTTTTACCGCTGTTGTCTTCCTCTCCGCGGTCAATCCAATCCTGTCCGTACCATATCTGCATCTCTTGGTTGCTCGAGACAGACAAAGGATTGACGAGGTTGCGAAAAACCAGCTCAATTGAATTATGGTGATATCCAGGAAGACTGTAAAAGTGTTCTTTGTTATCAAAATGACCGGGAGTTTTAAAAGCTTTCAAGTCCTCGGCAGGTGGCAGAATGGCCTTCTTATTGGCATCTGTGATGATTGTCATCAGATTGTCTTTATATGGTGTCCAGGTGCAACCCCAGTAGGATGAAATAGTAACATTGTTGCAGCGCACTGACCCTGACTTGTGAATAAGCTTCATTGTCTTAACTCGTCCACTCTTTGTCATGTTGAAGGAACCATACTGATTGTCTTTGGCTCCAAAGCAGACAGGTTCTTCGCCATTTATCTTTTGCCAGCTCTCTAAGATAAAGAAATAGGATAGGCAGATAGCTAAATAGAAATAGGACAGTTGAAAGTTAATTAAACTGTTTTAAGAAAGAAATAGCCACTGTAAGCCAGTGTATTTTCGAATGGTAACTAACAGCTATTTGCAGGATAAATTCCAGTAATAAAAAAGGTTAACCATCGTCCTTTTCGGCGTCATGATCTGAATAGTTGTTTTGATCTATTCCCATTCGCCATTAAAACAATTTTGTATAAGGGAAAGAACAGTTCATGTCGTTGACTTATCTTCTTCAAACACAAATCCTTTTTTTTTTTTACTATAATTCCCGTTTTTTTCAGTGCCGGAACAGCGCGACGAGATATAATTTTGGTAAATATAAAAAAAGTTAGGATAAGAGAACACGTTTAAGAGGCAGTGGGGAAATAGGTGAGTAATTTAGTGAACAATTTACCTTCACAAGAAGCCTCGATGACCTCGCTATTCTCTTCAGAGTAAATCCAGTATTTCCCATCAGCCACCTGTTCCCCTTCGCTCGATACAATCTCATTACAGGATTCCGCCGGAAGTTCTTTGATGGATCCGAGGGGAACTGCATCAGAAAAATTTCATATAGGTAGTTTCCACCATCATGCAATTCGATACCTCGTGATACGACAGGATAGGAAAAAAAGCTCCTACTTTCCTGCCTGCGTAAAAGTAGAATGAAATAAAAACTGTGCTATTAGATCTAGACTAAGAAATGAGATGGAAGACAGCAACAGTAACGAAGCGAAACAAGCTAACGTTGCAGTATCATCGTTAAACTACTTTTCAGTCAAATATTATCTTCCTAAGATGCCGTTGATGAGACGATGATTCCAAAACGTCGTTTCTTTAATTTTGACTTGTCTCTGTATATTAAAATGCCTTATCAATGATGAAACAATCCCCAAAATTGAATCATCGAAAGGCTCGTCATAGGAACATATCTGTATCTACAATCTTTGTTTCTCTGAAATTTGAGTTTTCTGTAATCGTGAAAGGAAAATTAAAAAAGCAAGTCTGCCCAGAAACGCAAATACAAAAGGTAGTCGAGGGAACGTTAAGGGTACCTCTGTTTCTAGAACGCTTCATGTAAAATCTCCTCTGATCCGGTATAAAATCTTCCGGTCTTGCTTCCTTTGTACGATTGTTCAGTTCACAGATATTTTGACCAATGACGACATTGTAACTCTGACACGTGACTTCTTCCTCACACAGGAAAAAACACTCTTCAGGCAACTCATCGCGATGCACTTTAAACACGTGACCTCTCAGGTACATTCCGCCAATAGAGCTTTCCGTTACATGACACCGGCTGTTGGCGTCGAGTACACCAATCCGGGACATCAGAAACATTGTTGCCAGCCAGAACTTTGGATTCATTCTGAGGTGAGTGTAGGTGCCTCTTGCTGCCCACGGACTAATTAGAATAACACCTGTCAACACAATTAACTATGCTAAGATAAAGTTACATATGGATTTTCAGTAAAATTAATACCTCAATTTACACCTCAGAAGTCAACCCAAAACGCTTAGTTGTAGTTTCCTACGGCCTCCACCAGTTGAATGTATTGAAAATGAACGCATGAACATGTTCTGTTCGAGATTACGAAAACAAATCGTCGGCAGCATTAAGATGTGATACTAATGTGATACAGTGCGTTAGTGACCAAGCGTGAGATCAAGTTGGCTGGATATTGGCCGAGTTCTTTTTTGGCTTTTTTGATGATCCAAGCCACAGTCGAGGTCCAATAAAATCAGTAAAAAGGAAAAAAAATTTTTTTTCATTAAAAAGAAGTTATCGTTTCAGATTATTGCATTGGGTCGCGTTGAAAGGCGAAAAAAAATTACCAATTTGTTTATCTTTTACAACGGTTTTCCATTTTGCAATGGTTGGCGCTTGCTCGCCGTTGTACTTTAAAACAGCCGGAAGAATTTTTTATGTCAGATATTGGTTTTCATTGCTTTTGAACTGAAAGATCCGTTCATTACGACATTATAAATTTTCTAAAAGTTCGATGTTTTTTTTAATTTCTTGGAGTCCCTAAATAAAAACCCATAGAAAACAAAGTATTATATGCCATAACGAGGTTTTGTCATGGAAAGCCTACCCAAAGACACGAAAGAATGACCCTTTTAAGATCATGTTATAAATGGAATAGAAATATGGAACTTCGGCCTCCATTTATCTCTCTTATTTATGTCTCCAAATGTCAAGTGGGTTATACTAAATGTCGACAGGTGCTGTTCCTAAATACCAATGATAGTCGAGTTATGAATCTTAATCACACGAGGCGTAGGTTGTTTTTTCTTTAATTCTCAGAGGTTACTTCAAATCTATTTTTAGTAAAAGTGTTTTGTATCAAAAAGACTGAAATGAAAAAGTCAACCTTTATCTTCCATCTTGAAATTAAATAAGGTCTTCCATTCCCCTTCCCCATTCCCTATTCCATTCCACATTACTGCTTTTAGTGACATCCATTTATTCGTGCTTATTAACACCAAATTGCACTCAAAATCATGTGGTTACCTATACAAATCAAACACCACGAGCCGGCTGAACAGTTTGCTCCAGCGGTTTTAAAGCGGAAACAAATATGAAGTGGAGTATGACCCACAAATTCTCAAAATTATGATTACCGCTAAATCACCTTTAAGAACAAGGACGACAGCCGTTACCAGGTATTGGAACTAAGATTTTTATCTCGTACTGTCCAAGCAGGTGTTGGATGGGAAAGCCTCACCAAACCTCGACAAATAGAATAAAGAGTCAGTAAATAACTAACTTTCGCTTCTCTCTTCCATCAATTAGCTCTTGTTTGAATTACGAATTGGTCAAGATATATTTATTATTATTTCTTTCTCAGAGGGCAAAGTAACGAATCCTGCCATCTGATTGGCTCTTAGTGCTGTCTGGATTTTCCTATCTCTGCCCACGGGCACTGAAACGCTTTCGTGAGTCGCCGAGAACATGCATAGCTTCGTTGCCGTTCTTCACTAATAAATTTTGTTTTACCAGCTGGGCAAAGTATTTTTAAGCAAATCAAATCGATTAATAACTTATTAGTCCTCTCTTTTCTTGCTCTCAAATCACTTTAGTTGCCAGAAAAAACTTCTTTTCGAAATGAATTTGTGAGTTGACAAGCGGCCTTAAAAAAAGTCTTCTGTACTCCTTCACAAAGAGTAACTCAAAAAGTTAAAATTTTGAGATACTTGTTTTAAATGGAATAAATCGATATAACTTTCATTCATTTAAGATCTGAATTCTCTCTAACAATCTTTTCGTTGTGAAACGGTGAGAAAAGTTTTCAGTCCTCCTACACACACGCTTTCAGTAAGTTTTAGCAAGTCTGTTCAATTTGGTCATTTGTACCGTAAATTGCTGAACAAAAATCAAAGAAATTCAACGAGAAAAAAGCCGCATTAAATTTCCCTTGGGTCTAGTCAGTGTCTAGTTATTTTAGTGATTTTAGTGTTTCGGTGAAAAAAAGACCAGATTTACACGCGCTACTGCAGCAAACAGACGAGCAAACTCCCACAAGTTCAAAACTTATCGCTGACTTTACTTACAATTACTTTCCTTGCCATTAACTGACTGAGCAAAGGTGTTCTTCATACACTAATCATTGGTGGAAGCGAATGACACATTCCGTAAGATCACTGTGCCCTCCGTCTTGAGTGCCGCCAGAGTAGGTAGGCCTCGGACGGCACTCAAGACAGAGGGCACAGTTTCTCCCAATACGGACCTCCCGGCTTGTGAATAACATATATCTATATTTTTCTCTAAGAGGGCGGTAACGAATCCTACGTTCTGATTGGTTGTTTGTGCAGTCCGGATCTTCCCATCTCCGCCCACGGACACGATAACGCTTGCGTGAGTCGCCGACTACATCCCTAGTTTCGTTGCAATTTTTCATTCGTTCTGCCGGGTGGGAATATTTCCAAGCAATCCCAGATCAAATTACTTTGGTCGCCAGCAAAAAACTTGTATTCGAAATATTTGTGGTCGCAAATGTGTCATTATTAAATTCGTTGACTCGCGGCTAAAAACGGTTTTTATTGACTTTTAATCCTTCTCAAAAAGTAACTCAGAAAGTTGAAACTGTAAGGTATTTGTTGACAGTTGAACTTATTGGTTAAATTTTCATTCATTCAATATCTGAATTCTCTCAAGCAATTTTTCGTTGTAAAGCGGTCAGAGAAGTCTTCAGTCCTAATACAAATACGCTTTCGGCAAGTCTTTGCAAGTCTCTTCAATTTGATCATTTGTACCTTAAACTGCACAACAAAAACCGAAGGAATTCAACGAGAAAAAGCTGCATTAAATTCTCCTTGGGTCCAGTTAAAAAGTGTTTCATTTGACTTAAATTTTTCGGTGGAAGAAAGACCAGAATTGTACACGCCATTGCAGCAAACAAACAAGCTAACTCTCACAACTTCAAAACATGATCATGAATTTACTTACAATTACTTTCCTTACCATTTACTGACTGAGCAGGGATATTCTTCTTACATTAATCATCGATGGAAGTGAATAATACTTCCTGAAAGATCACTGAACGTTTTTAAAGAAAAATGTAAGGACAGTCATCGAACTTGAGTTCGTTTGCCAAACCAGTGCCGTTTTTTTTAAAAGTGTACATGCACTCTTTTTCCTTACGCGTCTGTAAATGCCGGGTGTCAGATTGTCACAAATAATTGTAAAAAAAAATTTTAAAATTTGTTTGGAAGCCATTAAAATCACCTTTAGCATTACACAAATTAAAAATATGTCGGTGAAGCCTCTCTCTTTAATTTGCATTACCTCTATTTTGAATACCATTTACTCGCTCAAAAGCTGTTCAGTTTACGGAGGATCTTGCCGTAATTAAAGCCCTAAACCATTCGGGTTCTTTTGGCAAGCATTTCGCTAAGTTTTAGAAAAAAACAAAAATGTTATTCACGTATATTTCATTTCGTTTTGCAATTCGTTTGCGGTACAATTTTCGGATAACAAGATAATATCTGGTAAACCCGACATTTAGGATAAAACGCTTTTTTCGTGCACAAATTGTGTTAGCTACGTCATAGAGCACTAAAGCAGATAACATTGTTCTCAGCTGCGCCTCAAGCGACTATTGCGCTTTTCTCGTCCTCTTCAAATTTTCCCGCGTGAATCCATACCTCGATGTGCGCACACTTAGCATGATTCGCAATTTTGTATTGGCCAATCCTTCTTCTTTTCTTTTTGTTATTAGTAACAGTTTCCCCCTTTCGTAAACGTCAGAACTTATTTTGTCGTCACAATTTTTACGAACGAAACCGGACCAACTTTCTTTTACTTCCGCACCAACAGTACCTTGCACTCCCTAAGAGTTCGATGATAGTTTTTATAAATTACTGGAGTTTCCAAATAATTATTTATAGTAAACGGAACATTATATGCCACAACAGAGCTTTGTTATGGAAAGCTTACCCAAACAACTAAAGGAAGGAAACTTGTTAGATGATCTCATAAATGCAAAAGAGATCACTCAACTTACCCAAACTCAGCTCAATTTACCTCTGCTGAAATATGTCTGAATTTAGAGTGTGTTGTGCTAAACATCAATGATAGCCGAGTAATGAGTACTTTAACGCTCAAAGCAACTTCCTGCGTGTCTCTCGATTTGTTTCTTGTTTGATATGATAGATAAACCCAATAACTCTTCACTCAGAGCAATATGTTTTCATATCTTTTATGCTTAAGTAATGACGTCTGGCACTTATCTTAATACAATAGCAGGATATCTTAATTATTCTCGCATGCTTTTTTTTACAAACTTTATAATCAGCTTTTCTTTTTGTTTTTTCTTCTAGCAGATGGCTGCACCAAAGCTGGCATAGAAGTCTGTTCTTTCGCACTTTGAAATAATCGTCACACATTCTAATAACTGTCGCGCTTTGTAATACAGTAACTCTTTTACTTTGTATTAAAAAAGCTTTCGCACTTTGAAATAAACTTGGTATGGCTGGTCGGTTTCGTTTTCAAAACTTTTTTAATGATAAACTATTAAGCGGCACTGCGCGAACCGGAATGGTAAAAAAGGCTCATTTCAATATATCCTACGCGTTTCGTCTGACAATACCATGTTGGTTCTAAAAGCTTGCTTATCTAAAAAAATGACATATAATATCTATTTTCGACCTTTGCGTAAAGTGTAAAGCAAGCTGAAAGTATTCGCAAGCTTTGACTAAAGTGTTGTACGTGCGTGATATTTTCCGTAACTATTATTGTTATTGACAGGGATGATGATCTGTCATGACAAAGTGCGAACAGGTGATTCTCTAAAAATTCCAGTAATAGCCGAGTTATGAATTAGTCATCACCCGAAAGAAGCGATCCTTTTTCTTAACCGTGCAGC